AGCCCGCACAAAACCAAGGTATTTACAACTTCTGATGTAGAATCGCCTGTGTATCTCGACAGGTGTGGCAACATGGTGGAAGTTTTCATGCCCGACGATTCTGTGCATGAGTATCCTGGCCCCAGCCCGGTGCAGCAGCACACAATGCCGTTGCATTGCTGGCCACGGAGTCGCAAGCGTGCGATCGACCCGGAATTGGATGCCGCAACAAGTTGCGGTGGCTCGGGTCTGAGGTTGGGGGACGGTGGAATACCTGTGCCAAACAGATGCTCTGGGAATTCGGAACCAATTAGCAGCCGGGCCCTGCCGCTCCGCGAAATTGTTGAGATTCTCCATGTTTTTCTCATCAATATGATGCGATCGATTTGTTGATCATCGTTGTTCAGTTTCCCCAAGGGCTCCCTAGCCGACATCCGAAACGGTCCCAGTGCGGTAGCCCAAAGCCAATGTGACGATCTACGGCAGAAGGTCATGTCCGGGGCGAGTTCACAAGCTGGCGATGGAGGTTGGGACGGTGAGTCGGCGAGGGCCTCCCTCGATCGCCTCGCGAAGACAACGGGCATCTCTGCCTGCGCCGCTTTCCAACCGGTTAGGACCATGTGATGCACGTCATGTTGGGCTTGGGGTGTACAGCGAATGAGTGACAGAATCTTGAGCAAGCCGGCAGTGCAGTGGCTGTCCGAGACGCGTCTCGACAAAACATCCTTCGACAAGGGTGGTCTCCCGTGCATGCACCGTACTTTCTCGGTTCCCCATTTCAGGGTCACCTGCTCCACTGCCGCACCCAGGCTCCGAGGTGCTCCCGCAACGGCCGCGCGCGAGCGGCAGTGGGAGCCGGAGTCTGCGACGCAACGCGATCTGCATTGTCTCGGGGGTGAGCGAGGTCTGGGGGTCGCTGGGGGTGGCCTGGAGCCAACCAGCGCGTGCGGGCCAGCGTGGGAGTGCAAGAGCGCGGTGGGGAGGTGGCAGAACGGGCAGCAGCATGTGGTCGCAGAAGCAAGGGTTTCGTGTACGAAACATACGACAATCCACGACGCGGTCCCAGTGCTGGAGGCCCAAGGCAGGGCGACACCTTAATGCAATGAAGTTGAAGTCCAAGGCTGAGGCACGGGAATGCACGTTCAAGGGAGACGACTGGCGATGAGTGGCGGCTCAGCAGAGTCAGCGAGGACATCGCTCAGGAGAGGGCCTCCCCGTCGACATTGGCAGTGCCAAAATAAAAGAGGAAAAGAAGAGGCATGGCGGCAAAGGACCGAGCCTCAGCAATGCAAACCAGCGCAAGGCGAGCGCAGATGCGGTCGCTGCCCGTGGGGCAGGCAGCGCGAGCTTGGACCAGCAGTCGGACGAACACAGCGGCCCTTGGCCCCCATCCTCACAATGCCGAGGACAACCAATCGGCACCGATTGCCTTGCGCGGTTTCGGGATAAGTCCGTGCCTTGGCGCTTTCGGCGACCTTGAAAGCTGCACCTGCAGTGATGCCTCCGTCACGGTGTGGCATCCCAGCAGTCGTAAGGGGCGACAGCAGGGTTGTGTCCACAGCGAGTTGCGCCCCATGCGCCCCGCCCCACAACGCCAGGCCGTTAGCAAAAAACTCAATGCGCCGTTCGTCCGGTTGGGGGGGGGCAACATTGAGGTCGCGCACCCAAGTGTGGCATCTGTCGCCTGTCGCCCCGGCCTCCTCTCGAGGGGGCGCGCAACACGCTTGAGTGCGGGCCTGGGTCAGTGATGATATCGGCATTGCCTGATCGGCGCATTATGGCTAGAAGCTCGTGCGATTTCGAACCGTTGTTTTCTCCAAAGCGTTTGTCCGTCGTGATTCGGTTGGGAGAGCTGTGCTTTTTCTGATTGGACAAAGCTCCGCAAGCTGCGAAAAATTACTGCCACAAGCACGGTCGTATTTGTTTGCGCGACGAGATTGGTTCGTGGAAACATGGCGATGCACCATGTTTCCTTTGGCAAAAAATCGAAGCCATACCCATTCGCTGCTTGTATGCCCTCCCAGTCGTTGCCTGCCTGTTTACAGCATAACTGAACAAGTCATTCCGTCGAAAGCTGGATGGTTTTCAAGCTCGATGTTTTTCTCTAAGACGCGTCCAGAAAACTTGGAGGTTCTGAAACACACTGTGTCCAAACCAGAGCTGAAATCGCAGCTGGTCGGCGGGATTGGCGCGCTTCGTTCCTCAAACGTCATGCGAACATGTGTCTGTGTGGAAGGTTCGTGTCAGGGCTGCGGTCAAAAAACAAAAACGTAGAGGCCGCCCCCAAAACATCCGCGGACGTCCCCAGCGTATCAGTTAGTTGCATAAAGGTCGGGGAATATTGAAGACTCGAATCTTTATGTTTGTTTCCATCGAAATGCGAAAACATGTACGATGATTTTGCTTCGGGAACCAATGGTTCCTTCCATAGCCATGTGTCCCTGTACACGAAGCTTTGACTGACCGATGGATTGAAACCCGCTCAATTGTCGCACAGATGTGCTGCTTGCATGAGCACAACATGGACTTTTTGAGCTGCAACACCATATGGTTTTCTCTGCAAGCACCGATCCTAATTAGTTGCGTCTCGCAGCTGTTGGCTCGGGGAAACCGAACAACGACACATCGCTACCCGAGCAAAGCCGTACTTCCAGAATTTTTCCAAGGTCACCGTACTTCCTTCGTCGGGCCGCCCCCGGGATCATAGATCTGACTCCGGGCGGATTATTGGATGCGTTGCAGTATCCGATAAGGGACATGGTATACCGGATTGTAGACGGTTCTGCGCAAAAGTCAGTATGTTGAAGATCCATGCGCACCTCCTGCCCATCATCACGGGGGGTCTTGTTTTTGTCAAGTCGGTAGAGTTTTCAGCGCGCATGTCTTGGTTAGCTTCGATCAGACCCGATGGCGACTATGGGTTCTGTCTTCCATTGTTTCATGATTTTCATTCAGACTGCTCGCGAGACGAGGCTCGCAACTAACTCGGCAAGCGCCCGTGCAATTCGCAAAGCTCCTTCGCACTTCCTACAACACCCAAAACTAGCACGGGCCGATGTGTGGAACTGCCGAAGCGTAGGGTTCCTTGGCCATGCTTCGCCACATATTGAGTTGGGTAAACTACAACCTTGTTGTTTTGCGGGCAGCGCAATTGTCAGAATGCTTACGACCTGCACTAAGATTACACCTGCATGCGTCGAAACGTGCGTCGATTTGGTGGGGAGCTGCCACACGATTTGTTGCAGCCAACAACTGCGACGCGGCAATTTGCAACTCCAAACGATTCCGTTGCGCCGCCTTCGGAAACTCGGGAAGGTTGTGTCATTTACGCATCTCAACGGCTGGCTCTCCTGGATGGTGGAAACTGGACACCCTTCGCGATGGGATCCTGGTTTTACGCAAGTGCACATCGGCGTCGCAGAAATTTATACATACGTGATGCACAAAGATCACACATGTGGATCGTTTTTACATCAGTACAACGTAATGTTATAGAGTTAAAATCTCTGTGGTTGAGCTGCGCCTTTCTCGACCGCCTGAGCCAAATTGCGCAGTCGGGAACACAGGTTGCACATTTTTGCGTGGATGCATTCAAAACAAAGAAGCCTTGGCATTCTGAAACCAATCGGTGGTCGTGTCAAGGCGCAGATGTGGAATAAATGGGTCCCACGTAAGATGTCGATGATGCTCCCTACCAGGGTGAAATTCGATACAACTCGCCGAACACCCATGGAGGGCAAAATTCTATCCAAACTCGACGCCAATGCACACCTTGCAAAGTATTGCATGAGTATTCAAAAGTTTTTCGCGAAACAGCTGGCACACAAAATAACGCGCAGCTGTCCGGCGGTTCCCATCCTTCGTTTCAAGCGATACACAGATGCCGCAAAAACTGGGCAGCACGGAACCCAACGAAACGTAATCGCCTGTCCGTCGGTTTCGTCCGCGCGAGCAGCACCTTGAACAAATCCGTGAAGGCCGCCGTTACAAGCGATGCGAAGATGCAACCATGACGAACCTAGGGTTCCGGAATGTTTCGGGTAATGACCTTATTCAGGGACCAGTATACTGGTCCCGGGAGAACGTGTTCCGGTAACAACTTCTGTGCGCTGAGCAGCCCGAACGTGAACAACTACCAGCTCAGCACAGCGAGTACTCGCCGCTGTCTGTCGGTTCCGTCCGTAGCAACTTGACAAAATCCGTGAGAGGCGCCGTTGCAAGCGATGGAAATATACCTGCCCCGAGCAACGCGATGCAACGCGAACGTTTTCAACGAGCTATCTGCACCCGGCCAAAAACGCGTAATCGCCACTGCTTGTTTCCGTCGGAAGCACCCTGAGCAAATCCGCAGGAGGCACTGCTGCAAGCGATGCAAATTGCAAAGATGCCGCAGAATTGTCCGCACTGAGCGCTTTTCAATGAGCTACCGGCACCTGACGAAAAACTTGGAATCGGTGCTGTCGTCGGCTCTGCTGCTATATACCGGCATGCGCTGTTGCAAGCGATGCAAAGATGACGCCAACAAGTTCTGAGTCGTGAGCAGCACGAACGCGGCCAAGGAGCTACCGGCACCCAAAGGAAACTGGCAGCTGCCTGTCGGTTGTTTCGGCAGCACTGCGAGCAAATGAGGTACTGGCACCCGACGAAACATGAGTACTAATCGCCCCTGTCCGTCGGTAGCACCGTGAGCAGGTTCCGCGGCGGTTCCGCGAGAGGCGCTGTTGCAATGCAAAGCTGCCATCGACAAGGTCTCTGCAGTGAGCAGTGCGAACGTTCGCAACGAGCTAACGGCACCACACGAAAAAACGCGTAATCGCCACTGTTTGCCGATTCCGTCGGAAGCACCCTGAGCAAATCCGCAGAGAGGCGCTGTTGCAAGCGATGCCCTGCTTCAGCCTACAACGGTGCTGAGAAAGTGCGGCAGCTCTTGGCGGTTCCAATTTCACTTCGGGCTGTGGCCGTTCTCTCGGGCCGACGACTCAAAATATGTGCCGGAGACAGGGATTCGATTGCTCTGGTTGATGCCACGAAGTCCGCAGCGAACGATGCGATGATTGCCCCTGCATGGTATAGGTGGAGTCTCACACCCTCACCGCGATGCCTCGTCCAACGTCCAATGAACACAGGAGCCGGGGCGGCTATCGCACAGGCAGCCCGGACATACTGGTACGACGCGCTGAGTAAAATGCCGTGACAGGGTTGCCTCTTCCTCCTTCGTCACTAGCTCCAAGTACTCGTCGACGCTTTGCCTCGTTGCGTGTCTAGTGTCCGAGACTCTGCTTAAGTCTTGTTCAAAAGACCGATCTCTCCACATGGCACTGAGCAATGGTTCTCCGAGGCCATCGCTTCGACATGTTGCCGGAGCCGGAGATGGATTCAACCGTCTCTTTGTGCCTGCAAGTGGATGCAAATAAGCCTACGGCACTTTAAGGAGACTTCGCATCAGATCCAAGGAGAACCCCATCCCCATACGGAGACTCAAACTCCCGCAAGGGAAATCCTGATGACCCGTAAGAGGAACACTACCCTGACTTGTAAAACGGAATCCCAACCCGGAACGAAGCCCCAAACAACATACAAGCTGACCTGGACGAGCTTCTTGGTGCGGTCTTGGCACCTGGGCCTCGCCGTGCTGGCAACAATACTGGGTTAGGTACAAACCCCAGGAAGTACCATGATTGCTTGACTGCTTGATAGGTCCGGAGCATTACGTACATCTCCACTGCACTCCACTTCACTTGACTCCAGAGCTCGGCACTGCATTACACTCACTCTGTTACACTACACACGGTGTTACAGTTCACTATAGACTGTGTTACACTACACTACGTTGTCGTGTAAACTGTTATACCATGCCATGCCATGCCATAACATGCCGCAGCATGCCGTACTGTACGGTACGATACACTGCCATACAACTACCAGCACCATCACCCCGAACATTACCCATACTGATGACTGTACCAACACCAACAACTTGTTCCAAGTAGGCTGCATGCTGACTCCGCCAAAGCTATCCTTTAAGTGCAAACATGCTTGTGCCTCAGCTCGCTGTCTTAAGCCACGAAGCACAACCATGCTTGGCTCATATGGGGGGTTTCGACACTCGGGGGCCCGAATATCGAACCCTATAAATAGGATCCTTATAATACTATAAGGGACCCCAAAATAAGGTAGCCCTTAGTTTCGAAAGCTCCCCTGTCACACTACTAACTCAGCCCGGTGGCCCGTGCAAGGCAGAGCCGAACACATCGATGAACCTCGAGGCGCGCGGGAAGGCCACCGGCTTCTCAATCCCTGACCCCCCCAGGGTTTAGGGTTTAGGGTTTGGGGTTCGCATTCCCTAACCCCCCAGGTACCTACTATATAGGGCTTGGGGCTCCGGTAGCCTATATAAAAGGTACCTGGGGGGGTTAAGAATTTTGTCTGTGCCGAAAGCTCTTGACCTCAGGCTTATCGATCCGAAATCCTCGCGACACCCACTCGGAATCTCGCTGAAGACCCAGATGGTCAATCAATAACCCTAAGGGTCCATGTACCCAAATAGTATGTACTTTGGCCTTAATGTAGTCCCTATATAGGTCTTTAGGGCCAATGTTCTATCTGTTTGGGTACATGGACCCTTAGGGTAACGGCAGAAGGGATACTTCCAAGGCTGACCGGGCCCCTTTGCTTTCGGATACTCAATCTGAGTCTCTATAGGGTTCCGGCACATCGGTATTTGCACCAACCTCGCCTGAGCCATGTTGCAGATTATGGCATAGGCAGCAAGCACTGCAAGCACAAGAGAGCGTGAATCAAGTTGAGGTGGTGGCAAGTAGAGTTCTCCAGGTGCCAGCTCCTGGAGACTCACCTATTCCAAATCCTGAATCCCACAAAAGCTCGAACTACCTCTCGCTTGTCCTTCGGAACCACCGGCATCGAACTCCTCGGGTCCAGAAGAGGCGGCAAAGTACTGTCACCGCGGGTTTGCTATTCCATCAAAGTGTCCACTTGACCTCCTTGCAAATTATCACCAGAGTCACTAGAGACTGCAAGGTTTAGAGTCTATAGAGGACTTCTTGCAGAAGCTTTGGCCCGCGCAGATTTGTCTCGAGAGTGCTTCCTCCAGCCGAGCGTTATTTCCTGCCAACGACACTGTCGAAGACACATCCTGCTCAGCCTAAACCCTAAACCTAAACCCTAAACCCTGACAAAAAGGGGCTACTACAAGGTCTCTGCCTGCAGCTGGCGGTCGGAAATCCCGTAGTCTGAGTCCTGCACAAGATCCGCAGAATTTCTTGTCTGCTTAATTGGCCCCACAAGCTCATCTGACTCAGCTCGGGCTGGAGGGTTCTCTGCTTTAGGCTGGGTACCCTAAGCGACTAGGCCCTAAACTCTTACACCGTAAACTCTTTACAGTTGAAAGCCCTACGCGCGCTTTGAATCGTAAGCCCGCGCCGCAAACCACCAAACCCCAAAACGGAAGCCCTAAAACCCAATGTAGGCTTTAATAATTGGAACAGGTTTTGGGGATAAACATATGGAGCCCGAAGGAGCAACACAGGTAATTATTCTGGCGTCTATAAGACACACTAAACCTTTAACCCAAACCCCTAGAAGCAGGATGTGGCAGGAGCATCCTCGGCCCATAGGTCATCGTCTTCAGCACCCTCGGAGTTGTCTGAAATCCTCGCAAATCAAGAGCTTTCTGGGTTTAGGGTTCGGGTGTTGTAGGGCTTATAGGCTTGAGGGATTCTGCCCACAAGGCAGCTTGCACTTGATGGTCTCTTTCTATCTAACCTAACCTATCCCTCAACCGATCTATCTATCTCCAACGTCTCTAGCTGGTTGCTACTCTGTACACGTGAGCCCAGTAGTTGATGATCTCGGCTGAAAGATATTTCTGTAGCAGCCTAAACTAAACAATTACCAATACTACTGTGGGGGTTCCTTATTCTAACTATAGTATACTGGGCCCAAAAACCCTGTTCTGATTATTCATGCCCCTATACTAGCCTTTTTTCCGCGTCCTCGTCACCAGGCTGCTTGACTTTTCCATGGCATCCCGAAGAAGTTCTCCGCGAAGCTCTTTACCCTACTACAACTGCACAAGGAGGCCTCAATCCTGGCGTGCATAGTACTCTAAATATACAATGATATGTACCATATATTACTAAATTATACTATGATATATACCATATATTACTAAATTATACAATGATATATACCATATAATATTACCAAATTATACCATATGTAGCAAGAGAAGCTGCCCTTTGGTCATGAGACTGGCACTGGATGCCTCGCGGTTGCAGTAAGAGAGTAAGGTATGCCAAAGGAGGAACACACAAACGTCGACTCCAAACCCTGTAGTGCCCATCTCTACATCGACTTGCAGTGCTTGCTGTTGCAGCGGCATTTGCGCTAAGTACGTCTTCTCCCATGTGGTGCTGCATCACTCGAAGCCGAACGCCTGCTGCACTCGCCGCTTGAACAAGCTAATGGGCCTTTGTCCGTTGAGTCTGCTGCAGTTATCCATCAGTCCAGATAGCCGGCGGCGTCACAGAGCAAAACCAAACTTCAACTTGTCACCTCTCGGAAACCAGTTCTCGGGTCTTGAAACGAGACCCTGCTATGTGCGACCTCATGCATCCGTGCGCAAAGAGCAATTGTTTTCTTCTTTTGTTTTAGGGGACGGCTACCATTTGTTCGGAAAGCTAGGCGATGCCTGGGCTTCTGCCCAAAGAAAGTTGCGAGAGACTTCATGCCATCGCCATCAACATCAACATCATCATCATCAGCATCATATTCACCACCATCGTGGCCGTCAGCAGCAGCAACATCAACATTGTTGCAATGTTCACCACCGTCATGAAAGGTAATCGGGCGAGGTGTTTCGAACATCTCTACTGCAAGTGTGATCGCAACTACCGATAGAAATACTCGCCATGAACCTTCACTTTACGCAATCTTTGGCAGGCCTGTGTCAGCTTCAATCCCGGCTTGACGTTGTCAACGACCATCGGAATCGGGTGCTTCAACATGTTCTTCGATTTTGCAGTCCCGGTGACACCGCCGGATTCGAAAGCTAAGCAGCTAAACCCGGAGCACACAAGACTGTCGGTCTTTCTCCGCCCAGCAGACCAAAGTGAGATTCACATTCGCCGCTGATTCGACCCGCAAGCTGTGGCAAAACACTGTTCCAACCATTTTAGGATAGAGCTGTATAAGTGGCGGGGGGGTTTAGGGCTTAGGGTTTAGGGAGGATTATAAGAGACACCATTACTCAAGGCCATATAGTTTACGCTCCGAGCAACTGAGAGTCGCAACTGAATGTCGAGCCCTGGGCGCAAATCCCATGGCGACGAGCGGATACGACATGCTACCAGGCCCACTCAGGAGCAGTCTCAGTTGACGCCGGACCAGGCAAACCGAAAGAACCTTTCAAATCTAACAGGCTTTGATTTGTATGGGGCGGCTCTGGAAACATGAGCTTTCGTCATGAGACTCTTCATGCACGGCCCGGCCCCTCATTTTCAAGCTTGTAGCGAGGCTATTGCTGTGTCAAGATGCATTCACGCCAAGCTACTTGGAGATGCTGGCCCGCATGTGCGTGACACTCCCTCCGGGGCTTTCCCGTCCAACGGCATCTGCTGTGGGAGTGACTTCGGGGCTTAGCAAACGCCTGGAGCTTCGTGTTTGGGGAGGAAAGAGAGCACGGCATGGTTTCGGGGTCTACCTGCGATCTTCTGCGCGAGATAAGCAAAACTGCGAGCCACGCACCTTGAAGATTCATGCAAGGCCTTTGTGCTGGCACTGCCCGTCACCCTGCTGCTGCACCGCTCGCAGCTAGATTAGTTCTGCCAGCTGAACCAAGAACATCAGAGACAATCACAACCCGAAGCTCGGGGAGCTGAAGAAGCTAATATAGGGGCCTATAATAATTAGAATAGGGTTTTGGGGTATGATACACTATAATTACAATAAGGAACCCCCCAAATAGTATAGGTAATTATATTAAGGCCCTTATGATACGCAGATGTTCGTGAACTTGGGACCGCGTGCCCTGCACTCCGGCGACTCCGGCGACAGCCCAAGCAGCGCAAAGCACTGGCGGTCCAAGGGCCCCGTGCACTTAACGCTGTGACAACATCACCAAAGGGTCCAAGTTATAGTATAGTATATACTTTGGGGACCCAAATACCTACAAAGTACTACAAAGTAGCTACCATATTAATACTTGGACCCTTTGGGATCACCGAAAATCCTGAATTTCCTGGCTCCAAGGTTCTACATATGTATCTTCCTAATCAGGCTACGCCCCTCAGCAGCATCTCGGTCGATGTTCCAGCTGTGTTCGGCATGGAGGCTCTTCCGTCGTCCGCATTCTCCTCCTCGGTCGAAGCCTGACCTCGGCGCCGTCCCATCTTTGCACGGCGGGTTGTCGGCTTGCTGTTAGCGCCCTTGCTGAGGATGCAGGGTGGGCACGAGAATACTGCCACAGGCCGATTCGGCTTGAATGCGATCTTCAGCACCTCACAGTCGCCGGTTTCTGACGTCACGTTGGTGAGGGCCGTGTGCTCCCCAGAGTCGAGCATGACCAAGGCACCCGGCTTCAGGTTTCCTGCCGGGGCATAGCAGCCGCCTCCTTTGCCCTCTCCATCTTCCATCGCACCATCCACTCCTGCGACCTGCACCGGGTGATCTGCCGTGACCCTTAGCGTCGCGGCACCGGCTTGCAAGCGAACGGTTTCTTTGGCCTGGGACAGCACCGGAGCCTCGCAGACCGTCAAAATGGTCTCGTCGTCTGCGGCCACCACCTGGGATCCTTTTCGGAGGTCCCGGCCCATCAGGAAGAAGTCGACGCCGGAGCTGCGGGTCTTGAAGATGGCGTCGGCCATGAAGCAGTCGGGCTGCACGGAAAACCAGGATGAGCGGCTCAGGACGGAGGAGGAGGCCATGTCATCGTCCACCAGAATGTACTCGGATAGATCTGACTCCTGGCCGCTGGGTGCAGGGCCTTGGCATGTGAGACTAGGGCTGCTGGAGTGAGGCGGCTTTGCCTCGGCCCGCGGGCGCTCCAGCTGACGGCAACGCTCCTTGTAAGTGGCCTTCTCTTCCCACAAAACCTGCATCTGACCGAGCATTGCCGATCTCTCCGCCTCAGCTTTGGAAAGCTGCTGTCGGAGCTGCTCGCACCGCTCCAGTAGCACTGCCTTCTCCAGCCGTAGCTCAACCCTGCTCTTGCCCTCTTCTGCCGACACACACTCAAGGTTCTCCTTTTGCAGTCGCTGCACCTCCAAGTGCTTCTGGGCGGCGTCGGACTCCGCCTGCTCGAGACGCTCCTTCGTCTTCGCATGCTCGGAAGCTTCTGCCTCTGCCAATTGCAAGCGACTCGCAAGCTCCCTGCAGTGCTCCTGGCACTTGCCGTGCTCCTCCTCCACCTGCCGGAGCTCCTTTTGCATGTCCTCCGCACCTGCCGCACGCTGCTCGAGCTCCTCGCACCGTTCCTTACACCTGGCGCTCTCGCTCTGCGCAGTTTGGAGCTCCGCGGTCTTGCATGACACCTCCGCCTCGGCCGCGGCCAGGCGATTGCTGAGCTCTCGGCCCTCCTCCTGCGATTTGCGGAGCTCCGCTTCGAGGCGCCGGCGCTCGGCGGTCTTCTGCCGCTTCCGCGCCGCCTCCGGGCTCTCGGCCTGCCCGAGCCGGTCCGCAAGCACCCGGCAGCGATTGCGGATGAGGGGCTCCTGCAGGTACTCAGCCGCCCGCTGCTCCCGCTCTGCTGCTGAGCCAAGCCATACTACTCGCAGGAGCCCGGCCTCGGAGAAGTACGGGTCGCACCACTCGTACTTCCCCCACTCGGCCGCCCCGTGCCGGAGCAGCGCCTTGCTGAGGAGCTCCGGCCTCGTCTCCTTGCCTGCGAGCTCTTTCGCGAAGCGCTCCCGGCAGCGCTGGAGCCAGGCCTCGGCCTCCGCCGGCTGCGCGGCCCACAACTCCACGAGCCGATGGCTCAGCGCCTCGCGAGCTCGGGTCGCATCAGCATTACTTGGACCATAACCAGCCAAGTCGGCGAAGGCGTCGATGACCGTGGCCACAGGCCAGCCGGCAGGGACTGCGGTCAGGTCATGGAGCTCTTTCCATTCGGACTCCTGCGGCATGAGGAACTGCAGGCTGCGGGGGCAGTGCTGGATTCGTTTCTGAGCCTGCAGCCGGAGCCACTGCATGCCACGGCAATAAATTCTCCAGCTCGCGGCCCATGTGCAAGAACTTAAATAAGCCAACCTTATTTTGTGATATTATAAAACATTAATTAGATACTCTGTAGTAAATACTATATACTAGTTCATGCCCTCCTGTCCTCGACTATATAGATTACTATACTATACTAACATGTGACGAGAGTGACTACCAAGATGATCGTGATGATAGAAATACGACAACGACCAGAAGACTAGACACGTCACGCGCATAGCTACGAGAAGCGTCGACGCTGATAAAGCTCATGATGACGCCGATGATGGTGATGATGACAGTAGTGAATGTTATGAAAGTGCTGATGGTGATGAACATGATGACAGTGATATGAAGCTGAGGATGAAGGCGGCGACGATGACGATGACGATGACGATGACGATGACGATGACGATGACGATGACGATGACGATGACGATGATGATGCTGCTGATGATGATGAGGATGCTGGTGCTGGTGCTGATGCTGACGCTGATGCTGATGCCGATGCTGATCATGATGATGATGATGATGATGATGATGGTGATGCTGGCGCTGATGCTGATATCGAAGCCGATACCGTTGCAGTTGCTGTTGTTGGTTGGAAGGTGGTGGCGGAAGTGGTGGTGGTGCTTCAGACTCAGAAGCTCATAATAGATCCAAAAGACAAACCTCAAGTAGCAGGATGCTGAATACGCAAGGACCGGTCACCCTCAGTTTAAGAGCCCCTGTTACCCGCCCATCTGCAAGACAGCACGCTTCAAATCGTGGCCTCACACACCAGGACGACTGCGAGGATCTGGACTGGCTGTCAGCGCAGCAAAGTTC